TTCATGTGACTGTGACATTGGACGCGTTCAAGCGATGATTGGATTCATTTGACTGTGACGTTGGATGTGTTCAAGTGTTGATTGGATCCTTGTTACTGTGATGATGTAAGCTCTGTTTTTTCCAATGAAACAGCTGTGGCAGCTTGCAGAGACTTGTCAGTGATGATGATGGACTGAAAGTGGAGGGGTGCTGGCCATTCCAGATTTTTAGGTCATGCTTTCCGTTTTGCTATGTTCACCAGTTAATATATTACCCCTCTGGAATTCCACACTGCTGCAACATATAATACTCATTGCCACTGATTTTCAGACAAGCTTCACAGTTCATGGCATCCTGATCCATCCAATGTAGCAGAAAGTTTACTGTGTGGCTTGTGGTCAGCAGGCCTGGAAAAGGCTATTTTTTCTGAAACATTGCAGCTCTAATATTATGTAATTTCATTAGGTATGAAATCTTGTGGCTCTAATGTCATGTATTTTTGTTTGATTGAAAAAATTGTGGTTTGCACTCCACAAATATGTCATTTAATAAAATTTCCAACTTCTGCAATCTGCACTTTTTGAACAATTCTTCCAAAATATCCTCACCTGCACATCAAAACAACAAGTCGATGTAAAAAATTTCTTTATAGATTGCATAGTTGCAGTCGCCAGTCATGTCAGAGCGGTCAGACTGCATTATCACCTGATCAGTTGCCACTCAAGTGAAGGCAAATGTTAGTGTTGACTGTTTTTAGGGTAAAATTAGAGATTAGGGGTAGCACAAGCACGGGACTTGGTAAAAAGTTCGCAGCAGCCAGCTTGTAGGCCCTAAATGGCTCTTAATGGCTGAGATATGGAATTCACGGCTAAGAGAAATTAAATCATGGCTAAAAGAAATGGAATCATGGCTTGGAAATCCATAAAACCACGGCTCCAAAAATTCAGTTGCCACTCACCAAGTAGATATATATTCCATGCATGGCAGTCAGGGCGGGAAAAGTGCTACTTTTTTCTGAAATAACCTGGCTCTAATATCATAGAATTTTAGCAGGTATGAAATCATGTGGCTCTAATGTCATATATTTCTGTTAGATTGAAAAATTGCAGTTTGCAACTTTGCAAACATGTTGTTTCATAAAATTTTCAACTTCTGCAACAAGCATGGAAAACATCTATCTTTAGTGCCTCAACTAGAACTTTCCCGCCATTTCCGGAACTGCGAGATTTCTGCCAGATGAATTGCCTCCTACCTAATTGTTAGAAAAAGTGCACAATTGGGCCACAAGATTCCAATTGTATTAAAAATTTGTCACGTTGGTGCTGCAAGATTTCAGAAACAAGTAGAAAAATTCCTATTCTGTTCTGCATTGAGAGCACAATCTGCATTACTTCAACGTACCTACCAAAATATCCTGCAAAACGTACTAACAACCAGTTAACCTGTTTTCCTTGAACCAACGTTTCCTTGAAGATCAAATAGCTGCAGTAACATCAGAGTGGTCAGACAGCATTATCATTCATGTGTTCAGTTGCCACTTGAGTGAAGCCTAATGTTAGTTTTGCTGTTTGTCTGTTTTAGGGTAAAATTAGAGATTTGGGGTAACATGTGCACAGACTTTGTAAATACATTTGCTGCTTGTAAATGGCTTTTCATGGCCAAGAAATGGAATTCACGGCTCAAAGAAAAGGCCTCACAGCTTGAAAAATTTAGTCGCGGCTCACCAAGTAGATATATTCCATGCCTGCTTGAGGTCTTTCAGATTTATAATAATATCAAAGTCATTTATAAAATGCAATAATTTCAATATAAATGTGTTGGAAAAATCTTCTGAAGGCATAAATTTTGCTTCTGATGTGTTGCCAAAGATCTTTTGATATTCACCCACTTGCTGCACCCTGGCCATAAAACAAGTTAAAAAATTGTAGGTACATTTACCACCTCTAAAAAATCCCTGAAAAAAGGGTGAAAAATGTGATTTTGGAAAAGTACCTCTGCTGAGGTCTGTAGCAAAAAAAATTTGTCGCTTTAAAAAATTTTACCCTCATAGAAGTTGTACACAGGTGTTGGCATAAAAACATGGTTAAAAGAATTTGCAGAACTCTTTCCAAAAAAATGGTGGCTATTTCTGCACAACGAGGCAATAAGGGAAACAAAAAACAAAAGGCAATTACAAAAGGCAAAAATGCACTTACACTTTACAGTAGAACCTTGGTTATCAAAGGCTCAAGTTAACAAAATAAATAAATTAAAAACCAAAAATTTTGATTACATATACCTTGCTTGGCAAAATAAATTTCACTTGGCAAAAAATTAATGCACCATCAGTCATTACAAAAAAATTTTGCATAGACTGTCATTGATAGAATTGTGCACTGGGCAACATTGAGTGATAGGTAAGTACCAGTAATTAAGATAAACCATAATACATTTCTCCAAAAAATATGATATAGATATATGATAGATAGATAGATTTCAGGTATGTTTTTTATGATATTTTTTGTTTTAGTGAATTCACTTGACCCAATTGAAATGGTACAAAATTACAAGCTGTCCTGTAAGCTTACAGATACAGAAAAAATGCTAAACAGCTGCTGATATGAAGCTTGCAGTGAACAAGGTTGTTGTCAATGCTCAATGGCATCTCCATGGATACAGTAATATCACATCAATAATACAGTAGGTAATGTATAGATATGGTGATATCATATCAAAAATTATCAATAAAGGAAAAACAAGTAAAAATCACAGAAAATGTCATTAATTATACATCTACATCATTTAAAAAAGAAGAGGTAGACTTTAGAGTACTGTTAGTAATGGATGAGTACACTCTGCATGCTTCGAACATTCTAAATTAAGTTGCATTTCAAGTGTCCTATATTACCCCATTACAAGAGGTAATTTGAGGAGAGGATGGTTTTTGGTTGCTTTTTGCACCTTGAATATAGAGTATGAAATTTTTTTGAGATGCCATACAATAGCCCTCACAAAGACCTTCAAAATGAGCGCAAACTCATTTATGAAATAAGAAGTAAGAAGTTATCAACAAAAAACAAAAAAAAGTCCCATATTACCCCCCTTTGACAGTAGTTTTTTAGAATTTGTGTTGTAAATATCTACTCAAAGATATGACTAAATTTTTGGACTTGTAAAATTTACAACTTTGGCTGGTTGTAGAAAAATGTGTGCTTTAGTAAATTTTTAAGCTTAGAAATTATTTGCCAAGCTAAACATAATAGTTTTCAATTTTACAGTACAAATATAGAATATTTATATTTACTTTAGAAGAAATTCAGCATTTGAAAATATATTATTTTTATAGACACCTTATAGTTTTATTGCTATGACTGCAACTATGAGAACATCAACAACATTTTGAATTGAGGAAATTTCAATTAAGTGTGGTACCTATACTGAACCATGTCAGAAAAAAGATTTTTTTGCAACAGCATATTTTGCAGTTGTGATTTTCTGATTGAGAAAAACTTGATGATTTGTATTTTTTATGCATTTCGGTATATATTTTGGTGTAAAGAAAGATTTTCCAAGTCTTGTTTATGGATTAGTCTGAGGTTCATTAGCATCAAACAGCATTTTTCATTAAGAACTTCTTATCTTACAACATTTCACAAACAAGTTTATGCTCATTTTAAAGGCCTTTGCAAGGGCTATTGTATGGCATCTTGGAAAAATTCCATATGCTATTTGTAACTGGCGAGACGCCAATGAAAAGCGTCTTTAATTACCCCTAGGAACTGGGTAATTTGGGACACTTGAAATACGTAAAACTTAACTTTGAAATGTTTAAAGCATACAGAGTATACTCATCCATTACTAACAGTACTCTGAAGTTGTCCTCATTCTTTGTAGATGATAAAGATGTAGAAAAAATGGCATTTCTGTGATTTGAACTTGTTGTTACTTTATTGATATGATATTATCTTATCCATACATTACCATATTATTGATGTGATATTAACATATCCATGGACATGCCATTGAGCCTTGACAACAACCTTGTCCACTGCAAGCTTCACATCAGCAACCATATAGCATTTCTTCTGTATTTGTAAGCTTACAGGACTGCTTGTAATTTTGCACTATTTTAATTGGGTCAGGTGAATTCACTATAACAAAAAAAAAAAAAAAATATTGTAAAAATCATGTGTGCAACAGAAAGGAATATTTTGGTAAGAACTAACATATTTTTTTGAGAAAGAAATTATAGTTCAGTTTAATTACTTTTCATTCTATGTTGCCCAGTGCACAATTTTATCTATGACATTCTATGCACAATTTTGTGATGACCAATGATGCATTAACTTTTCATTGAGTGAATTTTTTTGCTGAATATTGTAAATGCAATAGAAAATTTTTGTTGTTAGTTGATTTTTTCCTTTACTGGTGCCTTTCTTGATCAAGGTACTACTACTGTAAATGCATTTTTAGGTGTGTCTCTTATTATCCTGGGAAGGTGTCCCTTATTACCTCATCTTGCAGAAATGGCTGCCATTTTTTTCGGAAGCAGATCACAAATTTTGTCAATCACGCTTTCAAGCTAACACCTGTGTGCAACTGTTGTGTTAGTAAAATTTTTAATATGGTGATTATTTTTTTTTGCTACAGATCTTAGCAGATGTACTTCTCAAAAATTTCTCTTTTTACGTTTTTTTTCAGGGATTTTTCAGTGGTACCAAATGTATGAATTCTTAACTTGCTTTATGCTACATAAATAGTGAAAATGTTGAACTTTTTGCCACTATTTTTAGCTCTGCAATATTTTGATTAGTTTTGCTGCTGTGGGACAAATGTGCCAATTTACCCCGCCCATCCTTACCATTTGATGGTTCTATAAAAATAACTAACCATTTTTTTAGTTATGGTAAATGTATTTACTCATCCTTTAGATATAAATTCCATTACCAATGATTGATTTATACAAATTCAAATATTTAAATATTCCATAGCTCTACCAAATTCAACACTTGATGCGTGATGAGAATTTGCTTGTGTACAGGGGCTGGCAAGGATACCTGGCTTACGGCTGCCAGTGTACGGTGGTGGTGGTTGATCCCCACACACTACAGGTGGTACAGGCCCTCAATGGCCACACATCACACGTCACTAAGGTAAGCTGCTTGTACCATTGAAGGAAAGAGCTTATTTGTTGCTCTTTTTAATTTCTTTGCCATTTGCTGCTGACTGAAATATTATTATTCTGGTTTAATATATGCTTTTATTTAAGATCCTTAATGAATGTAGATATATAAATGAACAGAATCTTATGAGTACTAAATTGATATTAAAGGGTAAAAATGATAGAACAGTAAAGGGTGTCATTAAAGGGTGACAGTACAGTAACAGTACAATAAAGGGTGACAGTACAGTAACAGTACAATAAAGGGTGACAATACAGTAACAATACAGTAAAGGGTGACAGTACAGTAACAGTACAATAAAGGGTGACAATACAGTCACAGTACAGTAAAGGGTGCCATTAAAGGGTGAAAATACAGTTTTCACATCTGTAGTTATGAAAACTATTTTATTGATAAACAGAATGTTACAATACCATGCTTATTACTTGCTGGATTACCTACTAGACATGCTACAGGTATTGCTCCTGCACCAAATTATGAGGTATGATTGCATTATTATGGCAATGTTAAGTGTGAGTTTAAATAGGTATGTTTACATAATCACATGCATTAATGGTACCAATTATTATTATCATAAAAAGCATAACTTATTAGGGTTTTTATTTAAAAAAATGTTTTTTACAGTGTTATTTAGAATATTATTATAATAAGTATAACAATTTAACATCTGCAATTTATTTCAAGGTGTGTTGGCGGAACACGGAGCACTACCACCAGCTCAGTGCCTCGTACACTCTCCTCCTTGCATCTGCAGATGCTGCAGGTACCATTTTTATATTTTATCCTTTATTCCTGATGAATTTATCAGTTGCTGATTTCAGACGGCAAAGTAAATATTTTTTGCTATCATAAAAATTTTTTATCTCAAATGGTGAAAATAAAAAATTTTATAGCAATCTTAAATTTACATAAAATTGCTGAAGTGATGTTATAAATACGTGTTCACAAGTTCTGAAGAGTGTGTTGATAATTGGTTGTTTGCAGTAATGTTCTTGGTTAGGTTGAAAAAAAGTTAAAGTGAAAACAGATTCAATCCTTTGATTAATTATTATTTGCATGGCTTTTCCTAACTAAGCATGCCATCTTAGCATACAAGTATTTAAATTTTCTGTACTACATATATTCTGAGTACTTTAGTGTTTAATTTAATGTTGCAACTGCTCTATGGGGTTGCCAATAAACATTTTGACCAACAACTTGAAATTCACTCAATGTAACTGACTTATTTTGGAGCCTCTACTTATTATTTTGGGGCATCAAAATAAGTCAAGCTGACTTATTTTGGGGCCGGACCAGCAAGCATGTTGGAAACTGTTCAAATAGAAATAGCAATGCACTTTATTTTCTGTAACCTGGCACCAAGTTCTTAAATCCTGTGAGATTAGTTAGGATTTAATAATGTGAGATTAATATAATTTTCATGATTTGATGCTAAGGAACAAGTGAGAATGTAATGTGTTGTTGCAGGCCAGGTTCGGATATGGGATGTGACAGCTGGCAATGGGTCAGTGCTGGCAGCTCCTGCTGGGTCTGGCAGGAGTGCAGTGGCTGAGCTGTGCTGGCTGACAGGAAGTTGTGAGGGCAGGGAACACCTGCTGCTGGTGCTGTACCCTCCCCACAAGGTGGTGTTGTGGGACGCTAGGCACCACACCAAACTCTGGACCAAGACCTACACCCACACCCTCACCAGCCTCTGCCTCGACCCCTTCCATGACAACAAGATGGCCTGTATGATGATCTTTTTACTGATAATTCATCAAATATTTATTTTTTGTCCAAATGGGCGCTAGAGAGATGGCGAATTATATTTTTATCTTGCTCGTCTCATCTCCCATTGCAATAAAGTTGGATTGCAATAAAGTTGCATTACCACTAGCTTTTCGTTTATTGCAAGCCTTTTAATCACTGCAACATGCCTTGCATTTTATGTTATAAGTGCCAATTTCCTGTTATGAAGTGCCTGGACTATTCTCTTCCCTGTATGTTTGTGCAGCTAAGCACAAACATACACACAAGCTCCATGCAACTAAGCTGAAGCATCTATGTTTCAAACTCTTTAATTTAAAGTTTTTTTTTTATACAACTCTTTCATCCATGGACAGAAAATTGCCTTATTGTCTTGCAGTATGTGTTGAAATAAAATAACTTATTTTCTAAATATCAACCATTCAATTTTGTCTATGGCTGTCAATTTATTATCTTCTTTTATTCTTTTTAATATTTTTAATATTTTTTTTAATATTTTTTTCTGTCAATTTTGTCTATGGCAGTCAATAGATGAACTGCAGTTTAAGTTATCATTTATTTACTCAGATAAATTGAAAAACCTCCATGTTTTCTTTTTAATTGTGTGACAGACAGTGTCAAGGCTGATGATTTCAATCTTTAATTCTTCCGAATTTCAATATCTATGGTTTCTAAAGCACAAAAAAAGTAAGGTATCAAATAGATATAATTTTCTGCGATCTAAATATTGCTGGACTGGGGAATTTCCGAGTAGGAGTTAGCCACCGCTAAGGAAATCCCTTCATCATGATATTGGGTAGAGAACCTTGCTTGTGTGCGGCAGTTCTGAGTGAGAACTGCGTGGTGTTCGTGGATGACCTCCACCCATCAAAATGCCCGTCATCCAATGGCACCAAGTTTTACCTGGCCGCTGCTGGGGGAGGAGGGGAGACTCCTCAGGGCACGCCTCCCTCACTGGGTGCTGGCAACCGCACCATCACCCGCCGCATGAGGGAGCTCGTCGTGGGTGACAACAAAAACAGGTGCGATGCTTCAACCTTTTGGCAGCTTATAGAAATGTTACTATTGATCGTGAAGTATTTTTTATATTATTAAACCATTATATTAGTTGCTTAACATGGTATCTTATTTAAACATTGTTTGTGTAGTTGCTGTAAATCAACTCATTTTCCTGACCTCAAATATTAATAATTTCGTTAATATTCCTAGCTAATGTCTACAGGAGTTTTACTAAATGATATAATATTGTGTATATTAACGAATTTATATATCTATATTCTATTTGTATTCATGTGCAGTGGAGGGCGTTTGTGTTCAATTGTAATTGTATTCATGTGAAGTGGAGGGCGTTTGTGTTCAATTGTAAATAATTGTATTCTTGTGAAGTGGAGGGCGTTGTTATTCAATTGTAATTGTATTCTTGTGAAGTGGAGGGCGTTTGTGTTCAATTGTAATTGCATTCTTGTGAAGTGGAGGGCGTTTGTGTTCAATTGTAATTGCATTCTTGTGAAGTGTGGGTGTTTGTGTTCAGTTATGTTGGTTGCTATAATACATGATGTTGCAGGACGGAGGAGGGAGGTTGTCTGCAGCTGGCCTACCACCAGGGTTGGGTGGACGGGTTGCTGCTGCTCTACCCCAGGGAGCTGCTGGTGCTCGACCTCCTCATCCACGCCACCATCGCCGTCATCGCCCTCGACAGGAGCCCCGCGCCCTTTGTGCAGGTCCTTGGCTGTTTGATTTATCTAGCATTTTGCCAGGTCCTTTCTTCTGATGATCTGCAGTTTAATTTAACTTGCATCCATAGAGTTCCTAGGTTCAGATAATCTACTAGTTGATTGATGCTATACTTATACAGTTGCTTCTTATTCAAATGATTTGCAAGATTTGCAATTAAAGTTAACATTTATAAACTGAAATAAATTTATATTGCTACATCAATTCAAGGCCAGTTAATTCTGTAATCTTTGAGTTACTTGCAATGTCATAGATTCTTTTCCTTTCAATTATGATGAATCAAAGAACATTGAGCACATCAGGCACTCGATTAACAATTTAATAATTACATCTATCATGAATGGCTGGAACTTGCTGTCTGAGCGCGTGTTGACAGTTGAAATGAATGATAATAAATAGATAATTAGTCGTACATTTGTTATATAGTGACTCATGATAGCATGCCCGTTCACGTTCACAAATATTGTGTAGAACAAATAGAGTTAAACGTGAAAAAATATAGTGCATCAAACCCAAAATGCAAACCCCCAGATGAAAGAAGCATGTTTAACACATGATGTTTAACATGTGTAACCATATTGAGCAATTCAAAGTGAGAAAAGAATCATAACACTCAAAACCTCCCAGAGGTTTGACGTATATGTAGAAGAACTTCAATTAATTTAACCTGATGACACAAGTGTAAAGCCTGTCACCCCTTCAGATGTCTCCCTGCTGGCGGGGCGACGCGATCTTCACGCTGCACGACAGCGGCGCTACCGCCCTCCATGCCCGCCGCCCTCACGTCCCCACCACACACGGTACCTGCTGTGTTGTGCTGTGTTGTGCTGTCTTGTGTTGTGCTGTCTTGTGTTGTGCTGTCTTGTGTTGTGTTGTAGTGTGTTGTCTTGTGTTGAGCTGTGTTGTGTTGTAAACCTGCACCTAAAGCAACGAGTGAGCTGTTGACCAAATAGCAATTACGCATCATGTATTTGTGCTGCATGTCCACTAAGCTGAACTCAGCCACACCACCTGCAGGTGGCGCAGAGCTGGTGTACGACCGACGCTGCCAGTCTGAGGGGCTGCGTCTGAGCAAGAGCAACTCTGTGCTGGGATTCTCCGTGGAGCCCGTCCTGCACAACAAGATCGGTCAGTGCTAGATTATACTTCATTTATGTACGTTTTCCCATTTTTCAGAATTTACGGTAAATTTTTAGTAATTCACATAAGATTTTACTTGAATTATAAGATTTTATGTTATTGCAGTTTAATAAAATAAGTGTTGGGTTTCATGTTTTCATGTAGCGCGGTGGTACTTAGTGGCGTGCATATTGAAGCCTGAACTTTCATTATCACCTCAGATGCCAAATGTTGTCCCCTCACTCCATGATGCTCACTCCGTGAGTGGGAACATTCTGAGACATTCTTTTTGCTGCTCTTTGCCCTCATATATAACGGGAGTGCCTCAAGGCGGGAGTCCCAAGACAATGTTAAGAGTTCGAGATAGCAGGCCATACAAAAAAAACATTAGGATGAAAAGTTATTCTGTAATGTATTTGCTTTTTAGCACATTTCCTCATTTATGGGAAAAAGGCGCTATTGTGCTTGTCATGTCCGTCCGTCTGTCTGTCCGTCTCTGTCCGTCCGTCCGTCCGTCCGTCCTTGACTTCACGTTTGTGTCGACGAGAAAATGCGCTCTCTTGTCACTCACTGCAGTGAGTACTGAGTTATATTTATTGTAGTTTGAATGGTTCATTTACCATTAGGTAACCGGAACCTATTGTTTGTTTGAGAAAATTGTGTTTCCGGCAGGAATTCTTCTATGCGACGGCCGAGTGGTGTTCGAAGAAGTGCTGCCCGTCCCCGTCCCCCCCGCCGACGACTCCTGCGAGGACCTCGTCTCTTTGTTATATCCCCACCCCGGGGGGCAGGAAGGGTCATGTGGGGATGATGGTGGGGGACAAACTGATCCTACTGAATGGGATTGCCTGGGAGGTCCTGCACCCGGTGAAGGAGGGAGGAGTAGCGGGTCTGTTCCCCATAGGGGCCCAAGTGTCCTCAGGGATGGGGGATGTAGTAGCTCTAATAGGTTAGATGTAAAGAATACGAAGAACGGTCAGTCTATGGTCTTGGATGAAGAACATTTTTCAGCAAAGACCACAAAACAAGACCACGCAAGAGACTCTTCTTCTCCGTCCACTGTCCCTCCGTCCATCGTCCCTCCATCCACTGTGCCGCTGTCCATGCCGGACTTGTCCATTACCGACAAGTTGTCTTCCGATGCCAAGGTTCACATTTCAAATATTATTAATAATTTTGTATGTCTTTTCTCTGCAAAATATTTTTAATGATTTAATTCCTCTATAGATCAAGAAAATATTTTGTTATTCTTTGTGCAGATTTTGTTAGGTTATCATTGTTGCTGAACGTTTACTTTTCATGCTTTTAATTTGCTTTTCATTCATGCTTTTTCATTTCAATCATGCTTTTAATTAGAGCTAACCTTGACGTGCTTACAGTTGGGGGTGCTGATGACGGGGGTGGTGCCCCCCCTGAGCTCGCCCCCCCACGTGGTGCGCATGTGCCCTCCTCTCACCACCCGCAACCTGCACCGCTATGCCCCCCGCCTCGCCGTGGGCACCACCGCGGGGGCCGTCCTGCTGGTGGACGTCGCCACGGGCCGCCTGCTGCGCCACATGGACGTCCACACCTGCGCCGTCAGGTACGAGTTCCCTCTTGTGACCGTAGGACGGGCGCTCTAGTGACCGTAGGACGGGCGCTCTAGTGACCGTAGGACGGGCGCTCTAGTGACCGTAGGACGGGCGCTCTAGTGACTGTAGGACAGGCGCTTTAGCGCCCGTGTGACTGAATGATAGTCGTTCAAGTGATTTTAGACGCTGTCCTGCTTCCACAGGGGTCACTAACCCTGCCTCTGGTGCTACTAAGCCTGCTCCTAGGGTCACTAACCCTTCTTCAAGGGTAACTAACTCTGCCCCTACACCTCCGGAGGTCGTTAATTTTTCCCCTGCCCCCACAGGGGGATCGAATGGACGTCACTGGACTCGGTGCTGTCGTTCGGCCACCAGCCGCTGACCAGCGCTCAAGGTGCGTGCCTTTTACAATGCGGGCCTTAGCATTCATTCATCTACGATATGCACGAGTAAGATACTGTTTATATTCACATCACCGTTATAAAATATCCACCAATTGCTTAAGAGAGTCGTTCCTGATTGTTATAAAATCTCTAGTACCGTTCTCTGCCATTCTCATCAAGCGTGAGGGCAAATTTTACATGAAGAATAACAATGTGAGGCTACAATGGCTTTTTCTAAATGAGTCCATAGGTTTATGGTATTGCAATTAAGGAATTGTCTATAATAATTTACTATACCTGCACTTATCAATGGGAAAAGTTAATGGAATGACATTATTGGCTTTTATTTGGAGCTAGTGACTCTTCGAGATACTATCACCAGCCTTCATAACATTTAAATATTGTCAATACGCATCAAGAACTCACTTGTGACCCAACACTATTCCCCCTTCATCCCTCACCCATCCCTCACCCCAGTCATGCCCCAGGTCTGGTGCGCAACGAGCTCTTCCATATAGACTTCTGCGGCGGTCATGCCACTCAGCTGCGCGCTGCTGCCACTCAGGAGAGCCCCATAGTGGCTGTGCGAGTGTCATACCTCAAGTGAGTGGGGGCTTGTCTCGAGTGGGTGGAGCTTGCCTCAAGTGAGTGGAGCTTGCCTCAAGTGAGTGGGATGACTAGTGAGTGGCATGACTCGAGTGAGTGGCATGCGCGAGTGAGTGGCCTTCTAAGTTCGTGCAAATAATACCAATTTTGAGTTCAAGGCAGCACCTGAAAAAGGTACCTACTGCCTGTTGGCGATATCATCCTCCTGTTGCAGACAGTGACTCCCTCCTGTTGCAGGCAGTGACTCCCTCCTGTTGCAGGCAGTGACTCCCTCCTGTTGCAGGCAGTGACT